AGATGCAATAGAAAAACTATAGGCCTAATTGAAATAATGTCCCATTTTGTGAACTGAATTTGTTTAGGTCTGTAGAACAAAGACCGACACATTCTACCGCAGGCTCAGTCTTTTGGCATCGTCTACACAGAGCACCGTCGTATCGCAACGCATGGGTCTTACTCTCCTTTCACACATCCCAGTATCCAGTCCAGTCCAGTCCAGTATCGGCGTTCTGACGGAAATAAAACAATAAAACAACGCAACTATTTATTCTCCACATAAAATTCTCAAATTTCTGAAACAATCTTACAAATGACATCACAGTCGATACAGTGACTAAGGAATGGATGCAAGACCGGGTTCGATTCCAGGTGAGGAAGAATTAGCGTCTCAGACACGACGCCCAGAAGGGCTTTGGGGCCCACAGAGCCTCCTAGCCAAAGAGTGTGGGTGTAAAGCTAACCATTCATCAGCATCTAATACTGAGGTTATGAATGCGTGGAACGATACCCGTACGACACACGTGTGCTTGGTGTGGTGCTTCATTAAAGTATTATTATTATTATTTAGTGTTCTGTCTTACGACAGGTCCATTGCTCTGCCCAAAAAGAGCTCTCCAGTTTTCCCTATTCTCGGCTTCTCGTTTTAATTCCTGGAACGTCATCTTCTTTCCTTGTTTAAGATCGTCGGTTAGCTGTATCAGTCTTCTTCCCAGTCCTCGCTTTCCTTCAACCTGGCCTTCGATGATATCACTCAGTAATCCATTCCTTCTCATAATATGTCCCAGCCAGTTAGCTTTCCTTCGTGTAATCGCCTGCAGAATGTTTCTTTGCTCGTCGACTCTCCTCAATACTTCTTCGTTGGTCACTCGATCCGTCCACCTGATCTTCTCTATTCTTCTCCAACATTCATTAAAGTACTAGAGATAAATTAACCTTACAGTTGTAACTACTAACTCCGACTGTGAAGCTTGCAAGAAAAAGTTACGAAGAATAAGCTATGTAACGAAAGAATAAACTGGAAGTTTAAACAACGAAAAATGTAAGAAAGACGAAGGAATGATAGAAACCAAGGAAGGAAAAATGAACAAAGAAAGAAAATATTTTAGGAAGACGTAAACGTCTTTAAGTCTTGCAGTACGAGTGTGATTACAGAAGAATGTCATACCATAAACATAAAGTGTTCCAGCAAACTGGAAAGAAGAGTTTAATCCGAATGGTTATGAATCAGTTCCATTCCGTGGTTCAACAGACTTTTCGGATAAAGTTCAATAAAAGTTCTCCACATAAATAAATTCGCTTTCGTGGGTTGAGTAGCCATTTTACCGCCATATAAACAGTTTAACTTCTAATACCATCGTTGAAGTTTTGTCACTTCTCACACATGCTACAAAAAATGTTAAAAGTTTTTCTACCACTTGCGTAAGTTTCATTTCTATTTGCAGTTCAATTTTTGTTTTGAAATCACATAGATTCTTTGTTTTCATCCCGTACATTGATTACCAGAAGATATGGTTATGGTTAAAAAGGCCCACAAAAATGCTTGATTTAAGAGTAATTTATACTTACATTAATATAACGGTTCTATTTAAAATTAATCTAAACCTTGTTTTCAGAACACGAGAGTTAAAAATATCAATAAATCTTCTCGGGCATCAATTGAATCAAATGGTTACACGATGAAACCATATCATATTTCACCTAAAATATAATTGTTTTAATATGTACTATAATTTTCTTCTCTAAAAACAATGGTTATGGTAGAATGTATTTGGATTTTATTTTATGTTTATTATAGCATGAATTCTGTTATTAAATAACTCCCGATCTGAATGACGTTGCTGTCTTCACCAGGTGTGGCAGTTTGTCAAATCTGTGATAGTTCCCCGTTAATGACAGCTACGTATCAGTAAAAACAATGCACTATGGGTCAGGTAATCTGACGAATTGGAGGCAAAATTTATTCCATATATTGGGGCGATAGCAGACATTTTGCATTCAGTTACCGATATGGTTTTTCAAGATTACAACGTAACAGCTTTATCAGTGCAGTCTCCGAGAAAATCGACAAAGAATCTGAAGGGGGATAGCTGGATTCTGGCTCAGAATTCTACCTTGGGACCTGATGAATATCAAACTAGAATGTGCTAACCAACTACTTACTCGCGAAGTTCGCCGTTGATCCATGAAATATTGAGGTATAATCGACACTTGGACTTGCGATTCTGAATTTGTTACAGATAAATATCACATAGAATAGCGAAATATTTCATGCTTTGGTAAATTCTAAACTAGCGTGAGTGAAAAATTTGGCAAAGAGCTCCCTCGTATAAATATGATAAACGCGAGACTTTCCCAACGTTTTACGCGTTTTAGGAGAAAAACTGAGACTTATTGTGGAATATATTTGTTTAAATTGTTTTGTTTTACAACAACGTAAGATGTACATACTTTTATCTACTGATAATTATATAATCGGTATTATTATAAAAGAAAAATTAAAGAACCGTTAAAAATCCCATCCACACACAGGTCATTAGCTCCTAAAAATTCTGACATTTACTGATACCATTAACAAAGGTTAACGGCCAAATTCTAGGGAAAGTATCAGAATTGTTATGCTATGAGTACAGTTGCTAACTTGTTTTCCACAAAAGAGAAGAAAGCTAACAATCGAAGCAAACAGCAATACACAGATGGATCAGTCGAATTGTGAAAAATAATAGGCTGAGCTATGGTTTGTCGAGCACAAATAAAACACAATTTAGTATATTAGTTTCAAGAAACGAAAGAATGGACTGTGGAAAGTTTGGAACTGCACTCTTTAGCTGCCATGTCATACTGCCCATTTACTTGTCCTAATTCACAATTCATGAGTTCTCCACTACCAACCGCAATTAACAGCACGGCTACAGGCAAATAACGTATTTAGATTTCCCAATCAAATGACAATTTTCTTTAATCAAGTTTCAATTTGCGTCACACATGTGGTGGGTGGCGCTGAAACAGTCACCCCTTTGCACGCTCATCAACTATAGAGCTATCGTAACTAGAAATTAAATGTTTTGGATGGATGGTTTCATAAGGAGGGAGGGTAGTTTCTGTTCTATATGTTTTACAGGTTATAATAAAAATGCTGTTGCTGTATGTTAAAATTATAGACGATTTTCTGCTGTGTACGTTACAGGTGATAACACTGTGTCGTAGAACTGGATCCACCGATTATGGCCGCTGAACTTGTGGGGAGTGCCCAGTATGCGGACCACTCAATGAAGGAAGGAAGGAGCTTCCGTAGGTAAGTACAGTCTGTGTCAGTACAGCAGTGTAGAAGCCTGATATTGTTGTCTTGTGACTGTGCTGTGTTAACAATATGACAACTGTTCGTTGAAATCTCCTTTCTGGTCATTGATAACGCCTCGTATCACAACACCCAGACAGACAAACCACCGACGTCTTAATCAAAGAAGGACGTAATGAAAGCCTGGCTAAAGGAAATGAAAATTCCATTTTGTGACAGCCTGTTGAAAGCTCAACTGTAAGATTTCATCAAATTAAATAAGTCAAAGCACGAGTATTATGTGATTGATCAGATTTTAGCAGACAAAGAACGCACCTTTGCTGAGACTTCCGCAGTACCATACCGATTTAACACCCATTGAACTTATTTGGGAAGATGTAAAACAATAGGTTGCAAGCAAGAACACAACATTTAAAATTGAGGACGTCGAGCATTTGTGTCGCCAGAGATTCGAAGAAATTGGGTAAGGGGAATGGAATAATGTATGTCAGCATGTGGAGAAACTAGAACAAATTTAGTATGAACAAGAAGGCATAATCGAAGACGCTATTGAACGAATTATAATTGAAGATAATGGAGTGAACAACAGCAGCTTTAGTGATGAATCGAGTGATATGTCAGAAAGCGATGGTCTGTGAGGATTGGAAGAATTGGAAGAGGGCCGAAGAGTTGTGTAGAAGATAAAATTATCTAATACTCTCTGCGGTGTTAATTTTCTTGTGATGTGTAGTGTAGTGAAATCTACTTTCCTGTGTTACATACCATGGTGACATTTTATTTGGAGTGTGCTGTACGCGGCCTGCTGCCATCCCTTCCAGCAAACTTCTCGTAAGTGACTCGCTCCGAGGTTCCAATTCACAAAGTTCAGCGGCCAAAAACACTGGAACGCAGTATACCATTATTTCCGCTCTATCTAATAACAATGTTGTTGCTTTATTTATCTGATTATCGGGGGACAACATGATAAATTAGGCATACAACAAACATTGAACTAGAAACAGAAATGTAACTAAAGATCTAATAATCGATCAAGTGGGCAAGTGACTCGTTGAGAGCGATTGAGTTAAAGTGAATGAGCGATTCTACAACGTAGTGATTGAATAAGCGAGAAAAGTTATTTAACGATTGAAAGAGTGATGGGGACAGACTTAACCCTTAAAAGCCTGAGATTATTCTGACTGCCCTGTGAATTGACTATCAAGTGAATTGGTTATTTAGGGAGTTAACGAGTAATTGACTGAATTAATGACTCAGTGAGCGAAGAAGTGTTTTGAGTTAGTGTTCGAGACAGAGAGAGTAAGCGAGCGAGTGGGCGAATCAGACAGTAAGCAAGCGATTCCGTGAGCTATGAAGTTATTGATTGATTGCAAGAGAGGAAGCTAGAGACTGAGCGAGTTATTCAATGGGTAAGGGTGTGCTTGCAAGAGGTAAACGAGATTCTGATATTTGTTTCCGAATTTGTTTGAAGACTCTTTCTCGGCTGAATGTTGCACATTGCCGAATGAGACAATAATTTTAATGACAAACTATGATGGATGTGGAAGAATTCAATATGTATTTGCATATTTTAAGATATATTAACATAGTATACCTGGAGGGACTGAGAACGACCACGGAAACCTCAATCAGAATGACTGGCTCCAGAACCAAATTGGGATTTCCCGAACAAAATTCTGGAATACTAACCACCTAACCGCGATCTCCGGTTTCCTAACGCTGAAGCATTAGAATCGTAAATGGAACGACCTGTAAATTAAGAGGGTAGACGGATGACAATCTTAAAAGGCAGGTTTAACTTGAATTAATCAAAAGTAAGCTGCATTCAATGCTAAAGGGTTCATACCCCACATATCCTATAGAGTCAATATTCTCTTGTCTATAGTTAATGAGAACTTACTGTTGCAAAAACAGGTTCTTAGGTCTGTAAGATGCAATAAAATAAAATGGAACCATAAGGAAGACGGAAAATCACATTACACTTTACTACAAGTTCAATATTCTTCAGTGTGTAAGACAACCATCAGCCTGAATAGCTGAGCAAAGTGATTATGAGCTCGATTACCGCCAAGGCAGCCTCGTATCCAATACGTACTGCAGGCTCTTTATTTGATGATATTCGAGGATTTGATAATTTAAACAAGTTAAACCACTCTCCTGCACAAAATTTAGCTGCCTAGAATGCGTTTAAGGCCACTTCCACGATCCCAATACACTTTATGAAGTAACAATATATATGCATTTCTCGCTTTCCCATTATGAAGGATAGGATTGTTAAATGACCCCGAACATGCACCGATGGATGTCGCATTAATACGAATGCAACCAACTGACAAAACGCCATGTTGTATAGTTCATCGTCTGGATTCTTACGCCGTGTGAACTCATAAGCAGATTTCTTGAAGATGGAGACGTTATATTTCTGTGAAACGTTGACATCTACCAACACGTCTACACGGCCCCAAAACCCAGAACATTATTATCCTCACTGCCCTCAAAACCTCAAATCTCACATATCTTAAGGCATTTAACACAGAACATTTTCTTTAGATCATAAGAAACAAATCACATCCCACGTAATCTATTACACGATTCCATAACGTCGTAATGTAATGTGAGCACAAGCAGACAGACATATCATTAATAAAATCTTCTCGGGCAATCAGCCGCGTTAACTGGTTACCGTAGTAAACCCCGCGACTTCCGAGGAAGCCAGGCACACCAGAACCCTGATGATGGGGACAGAGTTGGTTCCCGAAACGTCGGTTTACTACGGTAACCAGTTAACGCGGCTGATTGCCCGAGAAGATTTTATTGATTGTACTCGCCTCGAAAGCCTCAAATCCTATATCAGACATATATCATCCTGGCTCCTAATTTACTCCAGAGTTAAAGGTGAAAAAGTTTTCCTCATTTGCAGACATAAATCAGTGACAAGAAACTTTCTGATGGTAAATGAAAGATTATAACCACTGGCACTGACATCTTGAAAAAAAAGGTAAGACGTCGAGATTAAATAACCACTTGTTCCACGTAACGAAAGCAATTATAATTTAATTTGGATATCCCCCCTTAACAATACAGATCACAATCGATAGAGACAGACGAAATAATGGAAAAAGAGAAAATTAACAAGCAATGGAAGAACGGAAGAAGAAAGTACTTAGAGAAATAAATAAATCCCGGGCAATTAATGACCGAAAATTTGACCTATTTAAGAATAAGCGAGTCGGAGCTGTGTGACGCTCACAAGATATGTAAGATTGCAGAGGATAGAAGCAAACCTAAAAGTGTAGGCTTATGAATGATTAAAATTTCTTGCTCATTTCAGTTACACATTTTCCAGTACCGGCTCCTCTCTATTTCCGTTTACCTCTGCCGGCCCGGAACCACATCCGAAAATAAAAATAAACAAAACTTGTGAAAACCGAACCACAGAATTTTCGAAACTTATAATTTATCAATTTAACTGCAACGATGTCGACAAGAAGGAAGTAATTTACAGCGTTCTGAACGATGCCACTTATAAACCATTTGTATGTTAATACATTTTCACGGAATACACAGATAGTAACGTTGCTTAAAATACAGTGCTGAAGATGGCTGCCCTCTAGGATGTTGCGTCGTGAAGTCTGGTAGAAATTGACCGATGCGTCATCAGGGCCCTGATGACGCAGGAAGAAAGCCACTCTGAAACGTTGGTAAAATTCTACAAATCTAAACGGCACAACATCCAACAGGCAAAATTCATAGACATGTAATTAGGCCTCCATGCACTTATATTGTGTTTGACTTCTTAGCAATCCTCCGCGATCCCAAATTCGAATCTCTGCTCTGTAACTAATTACTCCGATTAGGTCTCCTCGTGGCCTCCTCAGTCCTGGGAAAGAAAAACTTCTATTCTTCAGGACCATTTCAATTCACCATTCAAAGTAAACCTACCATTCAGAGCCACATACTAACCTTCCGAAATATCAACGAACCTGCTCCTAGGCTTCATTGAGTAAAGACACGAACATTAACTGCATTATACAGTTGCCCACAGTGACAAAAGAGAAGGCCCACACGTAGGTATGAACGAACACATGCAAATTGTATGCATGCCGGCAGCTGGGAACACGCTGTTTCCTGCTTTGTTTGGCATGGTCGAAGGTTCGAACTTAGCCTACAGCACGGATTGTGTGTACTCTTTTTATTACAGCCGATCATCCCACTCGCCGTAAAAAGCCACTATCTGGGTTTTGCCATGAATTGGCCCCCTCATGCAGATCAAACTTTATCGGCAGAATAGTCCCTGTATAAACGTTACGCGACGTTCTACTAGCCAAACATAGTAAAACACTTCTCGTGTGTAAATAAACATGGCGTTGCAGGAGTGACACTTCTTATCTACAGGGTCTTTCGTGAGGCAATGCATAAGCGATACATTAAAAACGTATCGAAGAATAATGACGTATTTGTCAGAAATATTTATATATTTGGGGGATTCTTCCGTCTAGTTGTGAATGAAATGTACAGAACTAATTAACGGCTTATTACAACTGTTATTGTATCAGTTAACAATGTAAAGTGCACTTAAATGTATAAACCTGCTAGGAAGCCATTAGTATCTAAACTTATTTATTTTGATGATGAAGTTCCTAATGGAAAACTATAAATTGCCAGTTATTGTTCAAATTCTATCAGAAATAATCCAAGAAGGACGTAAATATTAAAGAACAGACACGTTTATAAAGTAAGTAACTAATGTAATTTACAACGAGATTTCTGGGATCTGCGTAAAAGTATACTATTCAGACTGGGGCAGTGAAATGTCGAAAATTTCGCATCATAAAAGGAAAAGAATTCGTGTATTAGCACAAATAAATTTGAACAGAATATGCAGACTCTTCTAATTTACAACAATTTTAGTAATGCACGTAAATAATTCTACATGGAATGGTTCAGTTTTCTTCAACCACATGGCGTACGTGAGACCCAATAACTGCGCTGGTGAGTGCGAATTCATTATTTATGAAATCTAAGGACACATGTAAGGGATTAATGTAATATACACGTACATACAAACATAAGTAACACTTATGAAAGATGTATATTGGAAATTAAGCAATTATCTTTTACAATAGAGTATATTTTAACAGAAACTTGGATGAAAGCATTTAACTTAATATTCTGTAAAAATAACAAAGCAGAAACTTTCAAAACAGACTAAATCTAATTTATTCGTCCTATAGTTTCTATAAAAATTAAAGCAGCCTAGTCACGTTCAAAACATCTGAAAAGCGAATACTGTATCAGAAGAAATATGAACAAACTAGCAAACCAATGAATTAAAAAGCCGAGCTGCATGTGGGAGTAAACATTTCATTCTGTACAACGTAGCGTTTCCAAGAACAAGGAACAGATATTACAACTTCGCTTGTGAGGTGACATTCATTTACAGGTCGTATTCAGATACCACAAAATGAGAGGAGAACTTGTCATTTAAATTGCAAGTCCATATTTACATAGTTAATCTCTCATACCACAAACTCTAACAAACTCTTAACAAATGTCACGATTCCCACAACCAGCAACTTGTTTCTCAACTACTAGCTACTAGCATTCCACCGCTAAAGCAAGACGGTTAACAGATGCCACATTTTCCGACGACGGGTTCCAAACAAACATCAATATCACAGAAATCAACTTCTAGAAACAATTTCACGTGCTTGTCTGATGGAGACAACTATGTCTTTGGTATAAGCACTCGTAAGTTCCTGAATGTTCATAACAAACAAACAAACGAAACAAAACAAAAAACTGGACATGATCTTGAGTTAGTTACATCCACCTTCCATCCTCATAAACCTATTTTCCTGAGATAGGTTATAATTATCTACCACCTGCAACTACCACTGCTTCACACGTTTTCATGGTGTAGCATACAGAAAACTTCACCTTTATTTTTCAACTTTCCATTTTAATATTATCCTCCTATCTCCTTTTCGGACTTCAAAGAGGTTTCGCTATAAACGTTGTACGTACATCGCTGGCTGACGTAAGAATTATTTCTATAATTTTCTCAGAAATAAATCCCAAGAAAAATAGACTACGATTGTGACTAATGAAAGTAACAGCAAAGTCTTCGTTAAAAATCTGACAGATTCTAGGACGGTTAACATGCTTCCTACTTTTAAAATGTCTCAACATTTGTTACCGTGCCCACAAAAGCCTGCAATTCGACCCTACCTTGTGCCAATTAAATTGAGTCCCAAGTCAACATCTTGTAACTCTAAGCTTAATTATAATATTATCTTCTCGTCTAAGTCTAAATCTACCGCGTGGACTTTCCTATTGAGTTTTACTGAACAACATTTTGCGGGAATTTCTCATTTTTCTGATACTTCTGGAATTAATGACCCTAAAATATTACGTGGAGAATACAAACTATGATTTTGAAGATGACTGTCTACTGGGATCTTGCTGCCTCCATCATCAAAACGATGATGTTGGGGGCAGAAAACACCTCTGAAACGTCGATAAACACGGCACAACAGCTCAAGATTGGACTCTATACTGAATCTTTCAGATTGATTTGAATATTATCCTCCTATCTAAGCCTCGGTATCCCTATACCTTAAATGAATTTGGTAACTTAGGTCTTCATGTATATTTTTAAGCAAAGTTTGTCGATATGCGCCAAATCCACTTTGCTGACAACAAGGCTCCTTACACTACGAATATTAAGAACCCGAAGAAGAAGAAGAAGCCGCGTTCAGTGGCTGGAAGATGCGACACTTTTCATTCAAATGTATACTTTATACTTTTAACAACAGTTTATAAAATGTGGTAATATCAGAGAGAACTTGTTCAGCCCTGTTTTGTAATCTCCTTGGAGTGTGCTGCTGTTCTTTGTTAAAATGTTAGTAGCTCGATATTTTTAATATTCCTTTATGTTTGATATATGCTTCGCTTTTTCAGAATACGCTTATGCATTTTTTAATATTTTGTTTGTCACTCCATTTATTTTCCTTCTCTAAAATATTTTTAATTTATTAATGTTTTCCGTGAACAGTTATGTAAAGTTCAAAGAGTAACGCGAATGAAAACACAACGGTTTATGAATCCATGAACACTGTTCGCGTGCACAAAGACACTCCCACAATACGAGGTGTGAGTTGAAAATATGGATTGTGATCTAGTGGGTTAACATGTTCTTCACTATTGCGAGTGATTACTAACGTTTAGCATATTGCTTCTTTTGTCCTGAATACTAAAGCGATATGTTATTGTGACTTAATGTTCCGAGAGATACTGAATTAAACACACAGTACCGCCTGGTTAGAACTGGTTAGAAACGCTATAACTACAAAGCGTTCCACTGAGAAAAAAAATCATTTTATCTAGTCGTTGATGTTCTCCTGGGATATGTAGACATGGCGTAAAGTGGAGAAAGTAGGTTTCTCAGAAACGTTGGCATCTACCGACAAGTCCACGCGGCTCTAAAACCAAGAACATCGTCAACCTCACCACTGTAAAAATAAAAAATCTCACATTATAATATCGATTGCAGTATTCCCACACTACACTGTAACTTCTACCATAAGATGAACAAGACAACATTAAAACGTGTCTTAAGGGAATAGGGCGGGGAAGTGTAGACTGAATTCTTTTGTGGCTGATGGTGGGCTATTCTGAAATCGGTTAAGAGCTCTGTTCTTACGTAAAAGACGGGGGAATTTCCTCGACTACGACTATAATCAGTTACTTTGATATTACAGCCTGCATAGTGACTGGGTGCGGACTGGACCGACAAGAGCGTAGACTTATCTTCGAGATAACGTCCGGACTGTCCTTGGGTCGACCTAGCCTGCTGTTCAGTGGGTCAGAGATCGGAGAATGAATCCGACCACTCACCTTTAATGCCGAGCTCAGGAATGTGTATAACTATAATCTAACCTCACCCCTCTTATTATGCCTTTGTGGTGTGGTACTTAGGCACAAAGAGATTTTAGCTTTACCAGCTATCAGTTGTTGCTGAGAACAATACAATTATCATCTAAGTTACAACAGGGCGAACTGCTGTTTCCGATAACAGCTACTACGTTTGTTACTCAACAGATGCAGGAATAGAATGACTTACTGCACATTGGAATACCTAATACTCAATTCAGTGTAAATTCGGGCAAATTTCTGCATACTTCGACGTGGTTAACGATGCGATTGTAAGGTACTCGAGACCCTTCCCTGAACAATGTGGGAGAGGCCAAACTAACAATACACAACTCAGGGCTCAATAAAGTGGCTGCAGACAGCTGTTTTTACAGTAAACCCTATATGAATGAATTCATTAATTAACTAAAAGAATAATGGCATTTTCGAATATTGTATTACCTGGCATGCAAATTAGGCAAGGTTATTACAAGAAAAATACTTGTAAGAATCATTTAAAATTGTTGATGGGCGGGGCATGTAGCGCGCATGGATGGGACAAGAGGTGTGCACCGGGTACTGGTTGGGAAGCCTGAGAGGAAGAGACCGCTGGGGAGACCTAGACGTAGATGGGAAGATAATCTCAGGCGGGATCTATGGGAGATAGGAGTCGAAGGAGACTGGATTTTGTTGGCTCAGGACAGAGTCCGGTGGAGGGCTTTGGTTAATTCGGTGATGAACCTTCGGGTTCGGTAAGCCATCTAGTTAGTTAGTTAATGGACTGATATTATCCTCATAATAATAAAAAAATAGTAAATCGCTGTCTTCTGGCTTGTAGCGCCGTGTAGTCTGGTAGAAGTTTACCAAGCAGATGTCCTTGCTGCCTCGGTCGTCAGGGCAATGAGTACGTTGAAACGCTGGTAAACATCTACCAGACTGCGCGGCGCTATAACCCAGAAGACTGTCACCTATCTTCGTACTGTCCGGCGTGAGTACCTCAAATCGTACTTCAGAAAACAAGTCTCTCTTCTAGTTCTCAGGTTTTAACGGTTGAGTTCGACCTATAACTTCCGCTTTCGGGATTACGCAGCGTATAATAACCTATCCTATCCATAGTTTCGGCAAACATTGCAACTGCCATCTTCAGAGTTGTGTGTTGTGGCTGGGAGTTTTGGAAGCTTTATATAGGGCAGACAGTGGATTATTGCAAAGACTCA